TCTAATGTTGTATATTTATTTCCATTCACTATTTTTGCTATCAATTCTTCAAACGTTGGTAGAATGTGATAGTCTTTTAGTAGAAATTTATTTAATGTTACTTTGAAATCTCCACATAATCGTAGTTCACTTGAAGTTTTACGTACCACTACCATTGGAGTACTTCAGGTTACTCTTGTTGTTGATGGATCTATTTTCTTGATTATATTATTTTCTTCCAAACGTTTCAGTTCATTTTCCATTTCTACTTTTAAAGGCAACGGTACACTTCTAGCTGGCAGTGCAATTGGTTTTGTATTTTCTTCCAATTGTGGTTTTACTGATTCGACATTTTTAATTAATCCTAATTTATTATCAAACACCGTAGCAAATTCTTTATATAGTTTGTCAATATTTACGTTACCATTATCATTGTATTTATATCTATTGTTGATCATATTGATTTTTACATTTTTTGGTAACGATAAGTCAAATTCGATAATGCATGGAAATCCAAATAGTGTGTGACTAATAATGGAAGCCATTTTATGTTATTATTTAATTGTACTTTTACATCATCTTCACCCATAATTTTTATTCTATTATTTCCATATGTATTTGGTGCTTTAGTTCTTCTTAGTTTTGGCCTTCCGATTTTATTCCATATTATTTCATTAATAATGGTTACTGCCGAGCCAGTATCATATTCCATTTTAATTTTTTGGTTGTTTATTAATACCTCAATTGTTGGATGTTGCCCATATTTGTATATTTTTCTTATTGAGACATCCGAATCGTATTCTTTATTATTGTAATTTGTTCCGTAAATCTTTTCTTTAGCTTTACAACATACGGCGAAGTGGTTTGGTTTCCTACATTTGCTGCACAATTTTCCGTAGGCGGGACAATTTCTAATAGCATGAAACCGATTACAGAAATAGCATGGTTTTCTCCAATTATTATTTGTATGGTAGTTATTACACCCGGGCACTAGTTCTCTTTTTACATATGCTTTATTATCCTTTTGATAGTGCCGTTTATCATTATTATTATACTGCCGATTATTTTTATCATGTTGATTTATCCGATTATTAATATCATGTTTATTCAGCTCTTTGATTTTATATACCATTTTAGCAGTATTATTTATTTCTTCGCTAAACCCAATTCTACCACTTTGTTTAAGCTTAACGGTTGGTCTTCGTCTTTAGTATCTGGATGTCTTAATCGTAGTTCTTTATCCAGTTGTGACATTTTTAGTCCGGCGATTAATTGATCTCGAATTCTCAGTTCTACATTGTCTTCAAATTCGCATCTTCGGGCTAGCTCCTTTATATTTTTTAAATAGCTCATTACGGATTCAGTAGCCCCGCGACTTAATCTAATGAAGTCAATTCTTGATGCCAAAATAATTATTTCATCTTTATATAGTTGTTTTGCTATTTTATATATGTCAATCCATCCTACCTCCTCTATATTCCTAGGATAGAGTAATTTTTTGATATCAGTTATAATGTTTATCCCTCCATAAGCTATGAATAATTTTTTTAAAGTGGCGTCAGTTTGAGGAATATTTTTCACATTTAGTATATATTTGATATAATCAAAGTAGTCCTCGATAGAACAATCTTCCTTTTTAAAGCCCTGGAGAATAATTTTATCCATAATTTCTAAAAAAAAAATTTATAAACAGAATTTTTTTTTATAATTCTATATATTATTAAACTTGACCGAAAATCGCGCGACTTGGATTTTTTTTTTAACTCGTCGCCATTTTTTATAGTCAAAACAATAGGTTCTTTATTATAAAATTGTTTCCTATATATAGTCTTTTATAATTATGTCATTTAACTTCTACTAATATGCAATTACATTGACCTCCATAAGATATTATTAAATGTAAGAAAGTTATAATAATATATAATTCAAATAGCGTAACCTTTTAATATATATATAAACATTCAAATATAACATATAAATCTAAATAAAGGAAGATAATGATTCAGATATTAAATACATTTCAATAGAAGATATAATGTCTTCCTCTGGGCTAACCAATTATAATATAAATGATTTTGACTACCTTCCCAGGCATCGAAGAGGTTCCTGTCACACATTAAACTTAGTGGCAACACAAGATGCCAATAAAATACTTTTAAACAATGAGGATTATAGGAAAGTGTATAAGGTTGCTATATCTAAATGTCAACGTTTGTGGAATACATAAAACAAATCTGGGCCATCAGCTGAGCAAATTAAAAAGAGATTACATTCTCAGCTACCATATCCCATTGTAACAAGATGGGGTTCTTTTTATATATCTTTGTCTAAAATATTATCACTTATAAATGAAATGCCTTTGGATTTCGATTTATTATGTGTTGAATTAGAATTATGTAGATTTACATCACAAGATCTTGATTTTATTAAAGAATATTTATTTAAATTAGTGTCTTATAAATAATTTACAATTAAAAAAATTAGATTATGCAACCAGTAGCTAAAGCTATTGATATACTAGAAGGTGAAAAATATATGTATCTAGGTTATTATACCCCAACAATAACACTTAAAAAAAGGTAACTTAAATTAAATAATTGTTTATAAATTAATTCATGATCTTTATGATAATGATAACATAATTGCTGCTATTCTTCATCCACTATTTAAAACTGATTGGCCTTGGATAAGGCAAGAAAAGAATAGATCAAAAAAGATGGAAATTTTAAATTTAATAAATATTTTAATACCCCGCGGTGAATCTAACACAAATGGCTCATGTTCGCAACAAACATCATTAGATGTAGTTGGATTTTTTGATTTAAAGCGTCAAAATATTATTGAGTGATGAATATTGAAATTATTAAATCCAATAACAGCACATTATCTTTATATGACGATTTTCCAAATTTAAAATTACTCTTTATTAAATATAATATCATTATTACATCAAGTGCTCCTGTAGAGCTTTTATTCAGTCTAAGAAAGCTCATTTTTGGAGAGAAACAAGCGCGTCTCCTATATAAAAATTTTGAAATCCAATTGTTGTTAAAAGAAAATAAACATTAAACTCAAATTTTTATGAAAAATAAATGTTTTTTTTTCAATGCAAATATATAGGATATTTTTATTCTATGTAAATATAAATATTCTATTATCCGATTTTTTTCGGTTTACTTATTTTTTTATATAAATAATTTTTTTTTTTAAAGATGTTCGGAAGTGATGCTCTTAATTTCATAAAACTATAGGAAAAAAAATGAGGCAGATCTCAGGGGACCCCAACGAAGGATTTTACCTTCGCTAGCAGATTTCCAGGGAAATCTGTTCAATTTTTTAAGCATTCACTTTTCTCTAGGGTGATTTATACCTTTTTTTTAAAATTTTATTATAATTTTTTATCTCTTTATACATACATATTTTTTAATTCATTTTTAATATACTATTAGTTTTTATATATATATATTTTTCATTATAATTCGTAAATGAAAAATTTGTGAAATTTGTTATAAATAAATTGTAAATTTTTTTTAAACAAATGATTATAATTTATATATCATAATTTTTTTATATTAAATAAATTCGTTCAGTAAATAAATGCGTTATATGAATGATGTATAAAGTAACTTATAATGTAACTAGTTATTTTAAAAAATAACTGTAACTAATAACTAACTGTAACTAGTTATATTTTTGCCAATGTAACTAGTAACTGTAACTAGTTATGTTTCAAAAGTAACTTTAACAACACTAATAATTTTAGTATATTATTGTTGTGTAATAACTAGTTTATCATTATTATTATGTTTTGTTCTAGTGATATGTTTTTTTTTATATTACCATTTATATTTTTGTTTTCTTTGTTCATTTAGAAGTGATGTGTTTTTCTCATATTATCATTTATATTTTCTTTGTTCACGTATACCGAGCCTGTTTTGATTTCATCCTCAAAACTGGTTCTAGCCAGTTTTCGAGATGGGCCAGGACATTAAATTAATATTCTTTTTATTTTATTATTGTTTGATTGAAAAGGGGGTTTATATAAAGACCTCGAAAAATGAATTGTGATCATTAAATATTTGATTTTTTTTCTTTTGCTGTTTATAAATTGAAAAGGGGGTTTATATAAAGACCTCGTAAAATGAATTGTGATCATTAAATATTTGATTTTTTTTCTTTTGCTGTTTATAATATTATACTGTTTAATTACCAATCAAAATACATACGCGTTTCATTAATTTCTCGACTTATCTGTGAATGACAAAAATGATGTCCAAATCCGGTTCCCCGGTTCCCATCATCGACGATCCCGGACCCCCAAACACGGACAGTATCTACCCCTGCCCTATACTTTCGATACTCTACGATCAGGAGGAAGCCACCAATCAATATCTCAAACGGTTTATGCTCATCAACCGTAACCAGACAGATAAAAATCTTTTAGCATTATTCTTATCTTCTTGTGGTCACTGTTTGTATACAAAGATAAAATTGGCCTATGCTCCAAAATCCATGGCAGAGCTATCAATGCAAGAATTAAGGTTATTCTAAGCAACAATAATAGTAACCATGGACTAGCAATGGATAAACTTCGCCAACGTATACAACAGGCACATACACCAGTAAAATACTTGTAACAAATGACAACCGCACATCCATATTGGGAAGAGATATACTAAATACAATACCCAAAATCTTACATGATATCACATCCAAAAATCATGAAATAAAACAGCTACAACAGAATTTTCATCTTCGGATACCCATGTTAATTTTCCAAGCGAAATGGATATAAGACTTCTTCTCAACGGAGCATCCAATATGAATGCCGACTACCGCTCACTGAAATAGACGACCAAGATGAAACAGAAATAAACCAAATGCAAACCGTAGCGACTCCGAAATAGCAGACTCAACAATACGAGACCTATAAATATGTACAGAAGGAGTTAGCGATCATAGATGAATGTTTGGTGCGAGGAAATAGGAGTGTTATACCGTCCAAACTAAGAGAAGCAGTAATGGCGATGATTCATGCTGGACATCAAGGAATGGAGAGAATGAAACAGTGGGGACGGGAATATGTTTGGTGGCCAGGAATGAACAGAGACATTGAAAATATCAGTCGAACCTATGTTAGATGTAATTCTTAGACTCCGATGCCACTAAAACATAAAGAAAGTGTGTAGCCGAAGGCAGCGCAACTTGGATTTCTTTGAATTCGAAAATAAAATATATATATTAGTGGTAGATGCTTTTTCGAAACGGGTAGAGTATGAGGAAGTGAAAAAATTAACCACTCAGATCGTGATAAAAGTATTAAAAAATACATGGGCTAAATTTGGGGTTGCTATGACAGTGGTAACGGACGAGGACCCTCTCTTCATTAGTAGACAATTCAAAATCTTTTGTGCGGAAACTGGAGCGAAACACATTTTGGCGCCATTATATCATCCGAGTTCGAATGGACAGGTGGAGAGGATGGTAGCGGTGGTCAAGAACTGGTTGAGAAAGTTAAAGGATGGGGGCGGAGAGATGTGGGTGGCCGTGTCATATTATAACAACAGTAGAAAAGGAGAGGAACCGTTGCCAGTGAAGAAGTTTTTGGGATGAAAAACTCGAATTTGGTTGGATTCACTGAAATCGGCCGGTGAGGGAGAGAAACGGTTTGGAGTGGGAAATGAATCGGAATTCATGGTCGGGCAAGCAATTTGGGCAAGAATGTATGGAAGCAACAAAAAATGAGAGCCCGGGGTGATTTTGAAAAATCTGGGAAGCAGAGTAAATAGGGTGCAGTTTGCCGACGGGAGATAGGAGTTAGACACAGGGATCAGCTTCGTAGGCGGATTGACCCGGAGAAATTAAGAGGGGGTCAATATGTAGAGTATATGAGTCGGGGTTAAATAAAAAGAAAAATATATATTTAAAAAATATATTTAAAAAATATATATAAAAGATTTCTCATGATCATTTGGCCTAGCTAAAGGAGGTTAATAACCACGGGAAATGTCGTAACAAAAAAATAAAAAAATTTAAATTAAATTATTGCTGAAGGACAAAGATACTTTAAGCTAAATAAGTTGTGAGATGTTCGCGGCCGGTGGAGGGAATTTAATTTAAAAGGGAAAGAAAAAAAATTAGCAAGATAAAATAAGGAAAAAATGAACTAAAATATTATAAAGTTAAGAAAAATGTCAAGATAGGGAAAGGGTGAGGGGAGTAATAAATCAAGAAATTGAAATTTTTTTGGGGGGAAAGTAAGTTAGAGTAAAGTCGAAAAAAAAGAGAAGAGTTAAAAGGAGTCATAAATCAATTTGAATAAGTAAATTGGTGGGAAAAGAAGAAAGTTAAATTAAAATTAGATGGGAATTAAATAAAGATGACTAGAGATTTTGGGTGAGGAAAAGTATAAAAAGTTTTTTTTTGTAGTTGGAATTACCAAATGTTTTTTTCAAAGTTTTTTTTGTTGCAAAAATATCCAAGCAAGAATTAAATTCGTAAAACGGAGAAATGAGGTAAAAGAAAAATATGTTATGTTATTTTTTTTTGGAGTACGATAATTTCTTTTAGGAAATAGGTGAAGGGTAATTTTTGTTGAAATGAGGGAGTTTATATATCTTTTTTGTGTATGAATTGAGTTGGGTTGAAATTAAAGGGAATTGTTATTGAAATAATTAAATGTATTGGGTTATATATCTTAGTTTAGTAGGTCGAAAATAAGGAAAGTAGAAGCTTTGGTGGAAATATTTGAGTATATGTTGGTCATATGTATGAAGTGAGTTATTAAATAAGTAAGCTAGTTTAGGATTAATTGGGGGTTCATTTTGAATAAAGTATGAGAGGAATTAGGTTTATGTGGGGCGGACCATGTTACAGGGCAGGGGAATAGAGGAACCGGGACAAATATGTAATATATATATATCAGCTTACCCATAATTAGGAATAGGAATGCAGTACAATTGGGTGTTCCGGGAATTTGAACTTGAAGTACAAATAACAGTGCCCAACAGACAACCCAATTGTTGGGCCAGAATGGGCGTTTTCGGACAGATAGCACCGACCCAAGTGGAACGACGGATGTGCTATTGTTGCCGAAGGAGGGGACATCTAGCCCAACAGTGCCCCCATTTGGCTGGCCCGGGCCAAACGTGGGAACAGTCAGTATGGGAGAACGAGCAAGGTGGAGACAACCTGCCAATGACGGATGAGACAGAGATACGTGTGGGGGAAGTCGTATGGCCCAAGAATGAGCGAAGAGTTGATGGATGGGATGAGGGGGAGGCGGCGACGCAAGACAATGACTGTGTCGGGAAGCGGATCCGGGAAGTCAATGGACCCGGCGAGGAAGAGGATGACGAAACGGCAGAGTCGAACGCCGAGGAATTGAGTATGTTGGGAGAATATTTGACACCGGAATTTCTGGACTGGCTCTAATGCGGCGTTAGTGATGCGGAGCTGATATTTTTATAGGTCAGATGAGGGGCCGGTGGGATAAAAACTTGGGGGGTGGCGTATTGTATTTGGAGCAAATTATTAATGTGTTGTATTTTTTTATTTTAAAATAGTAATGGTTTAGAATAAATTAGATATTATCGATAATATTAGTTTGTTGTTCATAAAAATTTATGTTTTTTTTATATTGTTTTGTTGTTTAAAAAAAATTTAAGTGAATTATTTGAGTTTGGTAAAATTTTGCGAACAAGAAAAAAAACTACCATTAAAGAAAAAAGAAAAGATAATTATTGTTGTTTGGTAAATTTTTGCGAACAAGAATTAAAAAACTACTATATAGAAAAATAAAATAATTATTGTTGTTTGGTAAAAAGTGAATTATTTGAGTTTGGTAAAATTTTGCGAACAAGATTTAAAAACTACCATTGTAAGAAGTAGAACCAAAATAAAAAGAATATCAAGTAAAAAAAAATAAATACATTTATATTAGAAACTAGGAAAAAATAAATACATTTATAAGGTAAGCCTAGAAAAATCTACAATCGAGAAGCAACGTACCAGAGAATAATTTTTCAAGCCTCTATATTGGTTATAAAGACGAATATGAAGAAGCGAAAGATCAACGAATGGAATAAGGAATTATTAGAAAAATACTCTATTCGAATATCGCCTTACCTGTTTTCCCTATTAAAAAGAAAGATGAAACCATTAGAATTAGTGTAGATTTCAGACATACTATAAATGAATATCTTATGATCAATCACTAAATTCCAAAATATTTTTAGTCAGATTGGATAAAATAAGATATTTCTAACACTGAACATGTAGGATGCATATTTATAGCTAGAATTAGAAATGAGTCAAAAAAAAATTAGCCGTGATTAATACAACTTTTGGTCTTTACAATATAATAGATTGCCATATGGAGTCTCGTCTTCTCCTATCATATTTCAAAGGGTTCTTTATTTATTATTAAACTACATAACCGGCACATATGCTTATCTTGGATATTGTGAGAAGAAAAAATTCAATCGAACATGATGTAAACTTACATAGAGTACTAAAAATACTAGACAATAACTAACAAACATTTAACAGCTATAATGAATAAGCCTAAACCAAAAAACATAAAAGAGTTACAAGAATTTATTGGACTTCTTACTTATTATCATAGTTTCATTCCAAATTTCGCAATAAAAACGCGGTCACTATATAATTTATTACAAAAATAAAAGATGGATATGGACATTTATTCATGAGAAAGCATTTCTTGATTTAAAAAAAGCATTGACGCTCTCTACAATCAAGACCATTAATTCTCGTCGCCTATGTTTCCAATCATGGTCTGGGCCCTGTTCTTATCACATCCTTATACAGATGATACTGAAAGACTTATTGCATTCGATACATGAGCACTCTCAAAGCGTACAAAATCATTCTCAAATAGAGAAAGAAACATTATCAATCATTTTCGGTATGAATGAATTTAAACAATACTGTTTTGGACTGATCACAAACCTTTTTATCTATTTTCAGGCCAAAGAAAAATACATTAATTATCACCAATATAAACTAAATGGGCATTACTCCTATCAAAATTTTAATACTCTATAATCTCTAAAAATAACTATAAATACAGAAATGCCGAATGTTTGTAACGATTACCCTCGAAGAACCGTATGACATAACAAACAGCGAATCTTTGTGCAATCTACAACAGTTATGACATAACAAAAAAAAATTAGTAAAAAAAAGCTAAGATTAGAGATAAATAAAGACCCAGTGTTAACTTAAATCATGAGATTAAAGAAAATATGCGACCTACAAAAGTAGATAATACATACACACCTTTTCACAATCGTAGAAAACAATTATCTAGGAATAATGAATATATTTTCTGATTCAATCGAATTTTAATACCCAAGTCATTAATAGTTTCACTGAACATATTGCACTAAGGACATCCAACATTTGAATGCAACAATTGGCATGACTACATATATGCTGACAATACAAATATTGATATCTTAGATAATAGTCGTGATTGTGCCTTGTGTCAGTATTGATATCTTATATTATAGTCGTAATTGTGCCATGTGTCAACAAATTACAAAATTAATGACACAATTAAGGAAAAAATAATGGAATTATGCAAGCCAGTCTTTTGCCAGAGTCCACATCGATTTAGCAGGGCTCTTAAACAAACAATTGTGGTCACTCCTCACAGACTCTACAAATGGGCGGAAATGAAACCGATTTCGACTAATAATACTAATGAATTTTACAGAAAACTTTTGCTCGTTCTGGTTATTTGCGTTATATGATCCCAGAAAACGGTCCTCCCTTTAAATTGTTGAAAAAGATAAAACATAATATCCCACAGAATAGCACTTTATCATCCACGTTCTAATGTAAAAATAGAGATTAATACATACGTTTAAAAATATATGTAAAAGATAAGAATTTTTATTTGCATATCGCAAAACTCCACATACGGTAACTGAAATTACTCCATCATTATTATTAAAACGGGAGTCTTTAGGACCATTTTCTAAATTAAAATCTGTCGGTTAAGGATAACTGAAAAGGAGGAACTATAAACATTTCAAGATAATAATATTGCATGAACAAAGAATTTTAGAGACCACAACCCAGTTGGATACCCGGTGAAATGAGAAACCGAGTGAGTTCTACGACATATCTTGAACAATTTCGTAAAAGGATAGACAAAAGACATACGAAATCGTTTTACACTAATAAGGAAAATATTACTAACCAAAAAAATAAGGGAAAGGTTTGTTGAGCTTCCAACAGAAAATTAATTCCTACAAATAAATCTGAATGAAAATAAAATTCTTCACATCACCTGAGGAGAACCCGAAGACCGCCTCATGAAACAATAAAGCTTATGTGCAACTAAAAATAAAAAGTGGATGATATTGAAATAATAAATGAGATACCAGCTGATCTCCTTTAGTTTGATTTTGAGTTTATAAATCTTTAAGGTTTGAAATATTGATTTATGGATAATATTCAAAAAAGGGCGGCTATAAAATGTTTTGAATTCAAAAAGAATATTTTATTGGTTTTTGAATGAGACTAGAAACAATACATAATAATTCATTTTAAAATTAATATAAATAAATTTATCAGAGAGCAGGCCTATACCAAATTCCGGCTTTGGATAAAAAAAAATATATAAATCCGGAGTCGACCGAAAGTCCTGAGCTAACCTGACTGAAAAAGGTTTCTCTGCAGGTCTCTGGTATAAATACAGATCATATTTATATTTTTGTTAAAATTACTTTATTCGTATTTTCAAAAAGGGATAACCCTAATTACATTAATATTCAAAGGGAACTGATAAGGTCTTTATATTAAAAGTTATGAAGTAGTTTCTTAGTTCATTAAGAACATATTTGATTAATCTTTTTACAAATTAATTATAATTATATAACTTTAATTAAAATTAAGTCAATGACCACAAATTATTATTACGTGAACATATCTTCCCTTATTATAAATCAATGAAAAATGACTAACTTTGTAATAACAACCATTGCACGATTCTCCCTAAAGTTATGGAAAATAATTGATATATTATATTTATTATATAAATATTATTATAAATAAAATATTTGACCCAATTTTTACCGGTATTTTTGTAAAATAATTATATATTTTTTTGTCCATGAGAAATGAAGAAAATTGATATATATATATATGTAAGGTAAATATGGAAATTAAGTATTTTTTTTTACAATAAATTTTGGTGATTATGAAAATATTTTACATTTTATTCGTTATCATTTTCTTAAATTTTATTGGGATAGGAAGTAATCACGATGATTAAATATAGATTTCATAAATTTTTTATTAAAATTTATAGTTTGATTCATAATCTTAGCTTATTTGGTGTAATTTCTTGAATAGTCAATGGTGTTGGGTTTGCGCCAGCATATTTTTTTTGAAGATTAGATTATCTCTATATTTTAGCATTTTCACTTTAATATGATTTTGATAATATATATATTTTATAAAATATATTAATAATATTCAAAAAATTGGGAATAACAATTAATGTTAAACATTCACTTCTGTTAAATGATCAACAGTTTCCCAACTTTGCCAATTGTCTAGTATCGATGCCATGCAACCCTTACACTACATAATTTAATTTTTATATATAGTTTTATAATCATTTAATAAAATGGCCATTTTTTTAACCTAGCGAAGTATATATTAAACAGAAGCAAAGTCGGATAAAGAGGTTGGTAGAAAAAATCGAAGGTGGACACCATATATATTTTTAAAATACTTAACTAAAAAATTTATATTTCAATTATGTGTAAAGTTTAAATAATTGGAAATTATCTCATATAGAAAAATCTCTATTTTATGATGTATCAAATTTGTGCATTGATAAAGTTCTAAAAACATCTAAGTTGCAATGAATATAGAGGTTCTGGGGTTGAATTGCACTATGAAACCATTTAAAACACGTCATAAATTTATTTTATAATGAAAATTATTTATTAATAATTATATATTTACCTGTCTGTTGTGTTTAAATCGAATCAATTCGATAATATTATAAAATAAATTATAAATATACAAGGCTGTAGCCAGGAATTTTCAGCTGGGGGGGGGGGGGCAACTGCTCATTTGAGGGGGCCACTATTTTTTTAAAATAAAATAAATAATTAAGCATTCATAGAAATTTCTTGCTATTTCTATTAAAAATTTATTAATGTAAAAATATATAATATGAATATACAAAATAATTCTATAATATAATATGTTGATTTTATTTTTAAATTTTAACATAAATGATTTAAAGGATAAATTTTGTGTTATATTTTTTCATAAGCCATGAATAATAAATTTTGCTTATGTTGATTCTACATCGACTAGCGCTCGATTGAACTCTCTTTAGTGTAGAAACACGATATCCAAATGATGATTACTACTGAGTAGCATTTATACAATTCTTTCAATGCATGATATATTTTTTTTATACATAATATTTAGGATGTTTTCAAAACTATGTTTCTTTAACTTCTACACCTAATAATTCTTTAGCTATTTTCATTTTATGATGTAACGTTTCCATATTTATCATTTTATCTGATAATAAACAGGGTGAAAGGGGGACAATGTATTAAAACATGATAGAAGATTATAATCATTTTGTGTAAAACTAGTAAAAAAAACGATCAACAAAGTAATCAATAATTTCATAATAATTCCTTTTTAAACAACTCCAATTGGAGTCTTTTTCACAATTAAATTGTAATTTGGTCTTGACTAAAAAATCTTAAAATTTATAGACGTTTTACGTACCTTTGAAGATTTTTTGGGAGTGAGATTAAATAATACTAAAATTTTGTTTTTGACCCTTAATTCTAAAAATCAAAAGGATTGTCGCTTCTTTTAAAATATTGATCGTGGAATCAATATAATTTTTAGCATCCACTAGATTAGTACCTACTGACTGTAGATACTTATTGTGGATCTATTGTTATTAATATCTCATAAATTATAATGAGTAATATAACGTAATTTATTAACGCATTGAGATAAAAGACCAGAGACTTCGACTGATTCATGAGTGAAAACCTCAGAATTAAGAGTTCTATTAGAAAAGTAAAATAATACTTCACCAATATCAAAATTCTCATGAATGATGCTAGATGTTTCTAAATGACCAGTCCACCTCTGGTCTAAAAGTCTCCTAAGAGTATGGCCTATTTATTTACAGGATACGTTAAAACGCCTAAAAATATCTTCTATCCCTATCACCGTTAGACTTCGGAGCCAAGTGTGGTAAGTAGTGAGTCTGATAAGGTTTTTTTAAATTAGACCAGAAATTCCTTCAATAGCATGCATAGGAATTAGTTCCTGCTTTTTTCCTTCTTTAAACACTTTCCTAAATACGACGATTTACTCAACTCTTGCTATGGTTTCCCCTGGTCACACAAATTTGGAGTTTACTTTATTTCTTCAAGAAGGAACAGGAAGGTGATCCTCTATGTTCCTTGCTCTTTACTATAGGCATTTATGATTTGGTCAAAATTTCGAATGGTTTCAATTTAGATTTAAATTTGTGCTATCTTTACAATTCTTTGGGGTCCAATATATAACAACGTCATTTCAGTTATTGAATATACTGATTTGGATGTCTCTAAAATTAGCCTTTCTTTAACAGGAAAAAAGGGAGATATCCTCCCTCAAAACAATGTAGTCTCCATGTTTTAATGTGCATTTGAAAGACCTCTTTTCTCCCAATTTAGCTAACCTTCAACTCTGAGTAAAGAAAAGGAAATTTTACTCATGAACGAGTTCTAAATCGCTAATGACTATAGGCTAGGTTGTCTAATTCCTTCTGTTGACACTGTAGGTAGAGTAAGGGATGTTTCTCAATTCACATTTGTTGGGATTAAGAGGCCTGTCATGGAAGTAAGGTAATTTATAAATTTAAAACTATCATGATCTCGGTGAGGGGCTGCTAAAGTGTTATTATATATATTATAAAACAAATATGTAGTATTCCTAAAATTACTCCAGGCTTCTAATTATAAAATTGTCATTCCCAAAATAGTATATAATATGTAAAAACCTTAAAAAAAAATATGAGTAAAATCTTTTAAGATTTTTTAAAAAAAAATTTTATATTGAAAGATTTTTTATGCGTGAAAATTACAAAATATTAATATCAAACATTTTGGTATTTTTAGGCAAAATTTGATAAAAATCTTCAAATATTTTGCTAAATAAAATTTTGAAGATTTTTTTTAGACTGGTGACAATTTAACTACTTTCTTATACAAAATATTTTTCCATATCGGGGCCTCACTAGATTCCATATTGAAATAAGATATATATTAGACCAGACATCGAGCCTTGAGCTGCCCGAAAATCGGCCTTATTTTTTTAAATATGTTGTTTAATGTGGCTTAATCTTATAATATAATTTGATATAAGGTAGTCAAAGAAAGAATGAGCTATTTCGAATGGTAATGAAAAGCTGTCGAAAAAGATATCCACATTACGCTGTATCCGATGATCAAAAAAAACAATTTATATCATGCGTAACAAAGGAACAGGAAGATTTAGATATTCCGCCCATATTAGATGATATCTTATGATTACATACAAATGTTCAAAATATTTATAATATCATTCGTTACCAGTGATATTTTTTTAATATTTCGATAATGATAAAAATTATTTATATATTATGGTTAAAAAATATCATTTTCCGAAATAAAAAATGTTCAGATATTTTGTGTTGAATTCAAGGTTAGACAGCATCGTATCGCAAATATGTATACCCCAAATAATACTAATACCTTTTTATCAATTTTCAAACATTAAGTAAGATTAATAAAGACTTGCTTTTATTAAATTTCTATAATAAACAAAAAATAATTTGAAATTACTAATTATTAAATGATTACGAATTTAAAGTCTTTGACATTATTTTGAAAAAAATTTTAAAAAAATATATGAAAATTGTCAATTAAATTTTTTCACTTCAAATAAGCGCACGCAAGGTTAAAGCAGGGGAGGGCTAGGAAATCCATTCCCAGATGTGAAGCACAAAATAAATAAAATACATTCCGTTATTATTATTTGCTATGCTAGGCCTTTGATGTTTTTCAAAAGTGGAACCTCTTAGCTATATAATTATAAAATCATTTACTAAAAACATATTATTTTGTCACCTTTTATATCGGATAATATTATTATCATAAGTTAGACATTTAAAATTTCCCGATCATAACTCAAAATTCATATAAATTTATGTGAGTTCCATTATATTAAATTAATTTATAATTTTAGATAGTTGCAGAAAGGTTACCATTTTTATGTATAGATTAAGTTATTGTAAAGTTTAGGAAACAATTTAATGAATGATCACGCATACATATCATTTTTAATGTCAACATTATTAGCATCTTTCTTAACATCAAGGTTTTTATATAGATAATATTGACATCGATTGCATAAAATTCCATTCTCCACTTCTGTATTATGGGCACAGTTCTTCCTCCTACATCTTTGACAGGTAGAGTTTAACGAGGGTTCAATATGTAACGAGTATTTTAAAGTTGTATCCTGGCCTAAAACTTTGAAGAAAAAAATTAAATAACATATATAACTTAGCTATCCTTTTAAATATAATATTACCAGGTTTAAATTCTTCCGAATCTGACAGTTCAAGAATATCTAAAATTTGAGGATTTTGTGAATTCGGATCAAGAATATTTAATGTTATGCTAGATGTATTAAATATTTCTAATAAATCGGAATGGCATGATTTTTCCTCCGTAGGTTGCAACAACTATATAATACATTATAATTTGAGATAAAACAAATCTTATAATTTAGTATTGTTTTACCTTTACATAATTAAATAATAGCGGATCCAAAGATATCACTAAATCCAAAGTCTTTTCATCATGCGTCATCTGAGATCTTAATTTGTTATAAGGCGTTTTAAGTGCTGATGCTAACTTGAATGCCAACCTAATATCTTTATCTAATATTTGACTACCATAACTAAGATTTTGACTATTTTTGCCCTCTTTTTCGCTATCAGAAAACTCATTAGTAATCGTGATCCAAGACGGTTCCCTAAAAACACTGTATAGAAAAGTGTCTTTATTATTCTTATTATAAGAATTAGAAGCATAAAAATTAGTGGTGTCGATATCGCGATTTTTTAAGTTAGCATTGGCTATCAAATCATTATAGGCTAATATGTGGGATGAATCCTTATTGAAAGGTTGGTGCAAAGAAATTTCCTCAGCCAAATGTGGCATTAAGGGAGCCAGATATCTCACTAGGAATTGTAAAACAATATAGGAAGTTATGTTTGCAGAATTCATTAATTGTTCAAATGTTACTCTATTATTATTATTCTTACAATCACCACTTTCCTCTTTTAGGATGTTATTATAAGAGGGAGAAATACCGCAGTAAAGTCTATCTTTAATGCCATTAATAAAAAAGGCCGATATAAACGTATCAATGAATTTAATAATCTCCCTGCAAACGTTGTCTATTTGATAACTTCTATAAGCTTTATCGATGATAAATTTTCCGAAATCTATTGTTTCGGCTAGGACATAACGATCAAACATAGTTAAATTTGATAGAATAAAATTTTGTGAATATTGGCTTAGAATCGTGAGAGAATTGTTTAAATATTTAAAATCGGATGCACCTAGTAAGAATTTGATAATATTTCGAATCTTGGCAATCTTGCTTTTAGCATTATTTAATGCGTCAATAGAAAAGGGAATAGTGGCTAAGTTGGAATGAGATGCTACGAACCACCTGAGAACGTCTACACCATAAGCTTGCATTTTTGGCTTCCTGGTCGTGATTGTTGACTAGATTATAAATTATAAGGACTAAAAAAATATATACTGTAAATAAAGCTATGCATCGAACCTATATTGAATGTTCGGCCAGGTGCGGGAAAATATTTAGACTATTTTTTCAAGAATGGTCAAAATTTTTAAAAAAAGGTTCGACCGAGAAAAACAAACCAGTCCAATGAGGCTTAGGGATAGGTTCTAAATAGCTAAAAATAGAAAATTTCTATTATATCTCCTAGATAATTTTTAAAATAAATTTGAAATTAATATTATTAGATACTAAAGTGTAAACACTTGTATTTATGAATTATCAGAAAAATTATAAAAATAGTGGAAATATTATCATTGTTCCCAATTTGATTAACAATTTGGGAATCAAACTGGGAATTTGGATGAACTATATTTTTAGAATTCTCAACTTAAATACAAGTTTCTACTCCCCTAGTATCTATTAATATTAATTTCAAATTTAATTTAAAAATTTTCGGAGACATAAGGGAGATTCCAATTTTTAGCGATTTAGAACGGGAACCGCGGCTTAAGGCGAATGAAATTCGAACCAATCTCAAAACTACAGGTATATGCATGACTTTATACCTTGTAGCAAAAAAACGAATAAAAGATGAGAAAAATATAGTTCTTCATTTTAAAAGCATAAATTTTCAAGACGTATAAGTAAAATTTTATTTTTTTTGATTTTTGTATATCTCGAATTAATTTTAAAATAGTGATTTATTCATATAATCGATATATTTTTTTAATTTACCTCTAGTATTTTCTTGCCATGGGTTTAAAAAATCTAATAGAGCTGTTTATCTTGCTAGTAAAATAGAGATATGCATATGAGATCCAAAACCGATCTTTTTATAAAGATCGGCAGATCCTGATCATTTTAAATAAAAAAGATTTTTCTGATAAGATATTTTCGTTGAATCGATCTGAATATGATTTTGCTTATATATTTCGACTGCAATAAAGTTAATCAAAACAATGTGGGAAATTCAAATAAGCTAGTAAGCCTTAAATTGTGGAATATAAATTTTTTGAATTAATAAATAACAAAGTTGGGCAGTAATTAATTACATTTTCATGTAATTAGGAATTAACAGTTATAATTCATAATTACATTTATAATTTGTCATCTATCAATTTTTATAAAAAACGCTTAATAATTGCAATCATTTATTTATATTTTTAATTATATTAATAATTGCAATATTATTAATAACTTTGGAGGAAAACAAGAGTGATTCTGAATCTTTAACTTTTACCTTGGACTCTGGTGATAACTCGAATAATTGTTCATCACATACAATCTTATCTTCAGCAAAAGATAAATCAATATTGGTAATATTTAATTCAAATTTTAAATAACTAATAAAAATGATAAATTCAAGCGCTGCTTGTGTATTGCGAAATAAAGGGTCACAATCAAACCACCAGTAATTTCCAACAACATATGAAGGTAGATTTAAATATTAATTTTTTGTTCCTAATCTTGTTCCTTTAGAGAAAACATCCTCCTATGTAGACACAATTTCACTATTTAATTTTTTTTTCTGAATCATCAAAAGGAATTTTTTTTTAAAGTCATCCAAAAAAGTCATCACATGTCTAATAATTCAATTGTAAATTTTGTTATAAAAAGTCTAAAGCATTGTTATCTTCATCAGCACCTGTAGAAAGAATATTTAGCTTTGCAACTTTGCTAGATAAGTATCGTTTAAATAACGAACTTTTTGAAAAATAGATACTTTAAAAAAAAGTTATACATTTTTTTAAATACTAGTTAAAAATATATTCAATAGCTTTAACTGTAAATGTCCATAATATCTATTTATACTTAGACATCATAAATGATATTCCATTTTGTAACACAGAATTTGATTGCTTTTTTAACATCAAATGTATAAATATGTTTATAATTTATATACATATGTCTATGATATTGCCCTTTATATTGAATGAGTAAAGCCTTTATATTTATCAAACATAAAAAAATTCTAATAAATAATAAAATATTATATGCTCTTTAATAAAGTTTCTTGTTATTATTTATGATTTTTAATCAAATCCAACTTTAATTTTACTATAATAGGAATTGATATGTAATATAATTACTATAGAAGATCATGACTATATGTAATTAGTAATTAATTTTTACGGCTCTTAAAAAAGAAATTAGTAATTATAATTACACAAAAATTTCGTAATTAATTATAATTAGGAATTATACAATTTTTTGAGTAATTATGCCCATCCCTGATAAATAATATTTCAACTCAATTTGTGATATTTAATATTAAAAAAATTATTTTCAAAATATAAAAGATCAATAGTAAAAGGATCTTGATCACGGTCCTCATCTTTTAACAGGATCAATGATCCAAGCAATTTGCCAAGATTAAGATTTTGTTAATGATCGTCAATTTTCTGATCGTGATCCTTTTACAACTCTGAAAATATATAAATATAAACAACTTCAAGGTCTTGATAATCATCAACTCCGTGGGTTATTAGAGATGGGGAGATGACGTTGCCTTTAGATTTGGACATTTTGGCCCCATATTCGTCCACGACAAAACCATGAGCTAAGACTGTTTTATAAGGCGGTCGGCTACTTAGGGTCAACGTATCTTTCAAAGCCATCCTGGTCAATAGGGAAGATTGAAACCATCCTGTATGTTGATCTATACCTTCCAATACTACATCAGAACGAGTTTCATTTCCTTTTTTTTGCGAAATGTAATAATTTTACAACATTAAGCTTAAATGTAAAAGTTTCATTGTACCTAAAACTCCTGACCAAGTCAGTCCACTGTCAAACCATATATCAAATATGTCTGTATTTCTTTCGATCTTAAAAGTTAAGACGTCCCGACTTGGAATCCTAACAGATACAACATAATAATCTTTTTCGTCTGTAACCGGATTCTGGGCGGCATCAATTGAAAACTCGTATTTATCATCAGGAAGTTGGTTAAAATTTCCCAAATTTAGCATAACACCAGTTAAATTGCTAGATGCCAAATAATCTTTTAATAGATGCTTCGGTAATAAGGCTTCGATGTCAGAATCGAACCAAATATCTGATCCGTGAGACTTAAACAATTCGCATAAGTGTAAGATTATACTTTTACCGATTAAAGAAATTTTATCGTCCAAAATTGTGTAGCTTGTTGCGTGCCCTTCATTTGAAGCGTTATTATTACAGGGTATAGGTTCATAAATCTTCGATTTATTTATATTTTGTCTCAAGAGGGAAATATAAAACACGGGTATAGGAACTCCCCAAACTCTTTGCCTCGAAATACACCAATATTTTCGAGATGAAAAGGAATCAGACATTTTTTTGGCACTAGCTTGCATCCCAAAATTTAATGAAATATTATCGACTTCATGGGTTGGGTAGGAAGATGTGTTTTTACCTTATTTTTATGTTATATTAATTTTTTTAAATGTTAAATCATAAAATCTAAATTTAATTTTGGGCTAATTTTTTATATTAAAAATTAATTATTTATAAAATAAAAATAGGCATTATATCTTTGTAAAAATAATTAATCTTCTTTTAAAATTTATAAACCTAACCTTTTTTTAGAGAAGAAATAAATTTGAATTTTCATCAGCTTAAATAAACAAAAATTATAAGACATTTAAAAAATTTCTTTCTTCGTTTAAAATTTTTTTTTTATTATGTTGCAATAAAACGAATAACAACAACCTAAACGATGCTATATAAATTAAAAAAATGTTTTATAAATGAGTTTTCTAGAGCTGTACCTATACTAAATATCGGTATCGGGTCGGCGCTGATCATTTCGTTTTAAAAAATCTAACCGATACCAATTTCATGCATAATTTAATGCACATTTTTTATTTATTTTTTTTGTGATGAATCTTCATAACTCCTATAAAAAGTGTTTTTAATGATTTTTTACATTTTTTAATAATTAACGAAGATATCAATATTTTATCTCCGATCGATCCTCTTGATCATTGGAGGGTAAATTCTCAAGGTTTTCTAGCTTTGGCAAACCTTGCACGATAATATTTGGTATTGCTGCAACAAGTGTTCCATCAGAATCAGCCTCCAGCACAGCAAAATTTTTGCGTAAAATTTTTCCGAATAAAATAGAGAGTTAGCCGTTTTTTAAAATGTGCGCAAATTGAGTTGTTTAACAATAGTAGATACACATAGCCCTCACACTTATTATCACATAAACTTGAGGATCTTATCTTTATGAAGAAAAATATCCAATATTATAATTTTAATTATTTTATTATTTGATATTTAATTTGTTTTTACTTTTTATTCAAATAAAGAAATATATATCGTTTGTTTGTTATACAAAAAATTTAATATGAATATTAGGGTGCACCGATACGACTTTTTGGAGGCCGATCCGATCCGATATTGATATCGGCCGATTACCGATCCGATATCTTATCTAGTTTTGTATTCTGTAAAGATACTGATGGTTTTAATTTTTAATATACTTTTTATTAGAGCTGCAAAAGTAGGCCCAGCCCGTACTCGGCCCGAACCTAATATTTTTTAAGAAAATTCGGGCCGGGTCGGGTCTTGGAAATTTCTAAAATATATCTAAATTTATCAATTTATGTTGAATTTTTTATGTAAAATAAAAATATGCGATTTTATTTATAGAAAGTAGACGCCAAATAACATGTATCGTTTATTTTGAGTAATTATAAAAATTAATTTCTATATTTAAATAAATTCGGCCCGGGCCGGGCTTAAAAAATTAGGCCCGATGCAGATCACTTATTAGTATATCTATAATTTAACTATACCATAACATGTCATTTAAATATATTATATTGATCAGTTATAGTTTATATTCAATTCAATTGTAATTCTAAAGTATATAAAAAAATTTTATTGAAAAATCACTTATTTATATAATAAGCAATAACATTAATCTATTTACATAATAAGTAATAAACAAATATATTATAAAATTTGAAATAAATATTTAAATAAATATTTAAAATTAATATATCGAAGATTTCTTTGAAATACCAAAATTTCCAATTTATCAGAGGTCAATCTGCGGTGATGGGGACTATATCACTAGCTTCACTAAAAACAGATTCTGAAGAGATTATTTCACACTTTTATAAACAGAATGCAAAAAAAAAAACAATATGGCTGAATGTTTATTAACTAATTATTACTATTAAAAAAACTAAACATAAAAATGGATTTCGATTTTATTTATAAACATAAATGGTTTTTAGATATAACTTATTTTATAATATTTTATTTTTGTTAAAAACGCCATTTTGTATCGGATCGGGAAATTTTATAATACTTGCCGATAACCGATATTTTAAAATAGATGAAATATCGGCCCGATCCGATATAAAATATCGGTACATCCCTAATGAATATATACAAATATATATGCTTTAAGGCAAATAGATAAATGTAAATTTTGATCATCATAAAAGAAAAAGTAATATGGAACTATTATATGTATAATTATTCTCTAAGGACAAAGACTATAACTTAATAAAATAAGACATTATTTACTATACATCTTATAAATAAACCTATCTACAAATTTAAAGATAAAACATAATTTAAAAGCTTTGAGATTTTTTTTTATTTAGAGGCGGGATAAATGAATATTCTGATTAAAACGCTTTAAAAAAATTTATACACAAATTTTTATTATTCCAATATCTTATAAAATAATGACAACGGTATCGGATAGGTGCTGTTTGAAATAAATATCTTATAATTTAATATTGGTAATGTGAATCGGTGCAGCTCTAGATTAATTTCTCTTATTAATTTCTTTAAAAATGGCATTATTACTTAAATTGATCGAATTATTTAAAACGGATAAATAACTGTTCAAAAGTTTGGAAGTATCGAAAAACCATTGATGACTAGTTTTAACGATAACAGGCTGATGAGTGCGCCAGTCATAAGGGTAGGAATGAGTATAATTTTCTAAATGCATATTTATGCCAGTGTTATTGTTAAGGCTATCGTCATTATTATCATTGGTTGTATGGAATATATTTTCTATGCTAAATTTATGGAGATTGTTAGTAATTATGTTTGTGGTTTCTTCTGATGTCACACTCAAGCCCATTAAATCATTATAAATCCTGGGAAGTTTATTCAGATATGAAGTTTCCAATTTTTTGTATCTTCCATCTTCATCTATGTGGCATTCCTAAATATATTTAAATAGTGAAACATTGTTATTATAAATGTATTTTTTTTTACCGTATTAAGTTTATGCGATGAGGCAATTTGAAAATCATTAAGTCCATGTGCTGGCGCTATATGAACCAGCCCTGTGCCTTTATCATTTTGAACTTCATCGTCATGCAACAACACACTAATTTTTTCGGAGTTATTGAAAGGAAATGGACAAAAATATGTACTTTCTCTTAATAAATTACCTAATTAAAAGAATTTTGAAAAAAAAACTAGAGAGCTATATACCTTTAAATATATTTACAATTTCTGCTTTAATATTTAACTTTTCTTCTAATTTATTTACGACTGATTTTAACAGTATATAATGATTGTTATCGTTGCCAAATTTGACACAAGCATATTCAAAATTATTATTATAAGTAATCGCTTGATTAAAAGGAAGTGTCCATGGTGTTGTTGTCCATATAATAGCATATAAAGGCGAGCCTAAGGTTAGATTACATTGATATGTTTACTATATGGTTTATGGTAGAATATATTATATCAAATTATAGAATATGTAAATTTCAGGGCACCCGAAACTTCGAGCGAAATTACGGAACGAGAAAAGAGTCTGAACTGAATATACGTTCTGAGACATTTCTATAACGATTTGAGAAATTTTTGCTAAAATATTTCTATGCAAGTTATTATCACAAATCATAAAGTATATATATATGTAGATCAACACCTTTTTATATATCGTAGAATGGAGATGGTTTTAGATTTAATTTATATAGAAATACTGTATTAGTTACTGCAGACGGAAATACCCTTAAAACAATATAAATATTTATATAAACAATTTTAGGTATAAAGTGTTAACTTTTCATTTATAAATGTCTTATTCTGGAGCAAGATGTTGCTCATAGATAGCAACCTAAAATAATTTAAATGGATTAATCTGTTCAAATCATTTAGCTAATGAGGGAATCGCGATATCATATAAATGGTTATGTTTATATATGTTAACGTCTATAAGTTTTTTCAGTCAACGTGTTATTTTATCAATTTCAAATCATTTGTTAAGCTAATTTTTCAAATTTTAAAATCCGATTTTACCGGAAATGTATTCCAGCATATTTAAAACACCTACCTTATGAATTTCAGACAATTATGAGCTAAACTTTTATTCATTTAAAATCAGAGTTGTTAAAAGATACTTTTTAAATGGATCTAAAAATAGATACAATTTATTTTTATATTTTGTTCTCATTAAATTCGAAACCATATAAAAAAAATTATAAAAAAGTACCCATATTTTTATCGTTCTTTCGAGCAAATTCTCATTTAAAACGATTTTAAATTTTATATTAAACTTATAATTTATTCATTAAAAGTTAGTGGTACATCTATAAAATTATTTTAAAAAAATTATATATTAATTGATTCTCTTAAAATAATTTTGTGCATTAATGGTATTGTTTTTAATAATTAATGGGCTTCATGGCTAAGCAAAGATTTATATATTCCTTTATATGATAAAAATATCCTTCACAATCTTGAAGTGATATCTATATATTTAAATGGGAAAAAAAGAATATTTAATGAATATTTATATTTTTTTATATATATATATAAGTTTTAATATTACATAAATTTTTTATATTAGACTAAATATCAGAGACCTGCAGACCCGGCCCTAAGCCCGGCCCGGGTACCAGGGCGTATTTTAAATTTTTAAAATATACCCGGGCCGGGCCTGAAAATTTTTTTTAAAAAAACCCGGGCCGGGCCGTATTTTTTTAAAAAATTTATACAACATGAATTATTATATTTGTCAATTAGATATGGTTATAATGATTATATATAGTTATGATTAATATAATGTTTGGTAAAAGTTAACACTAGCTAACACTCATAGTATATATTACATAATAAAATTATAGTTTTCCTGCCATGGAATAAATACGCAAAGGATTAAATACATTATTATATAATATATAATATATGTTATATTTTTTATTAAAAATATCATATTTTTTTTATAAATACATAGTATCTCAAAATTTTATTTACACAAATTTTTTATAGTATCAATTTGTAATTTACTAAATATCTGTTTAGAATATAAAAAAATATAGTGTTGTTAAATGGCTCGTTTTGAGCCGATTTTTAAAAACGGCTAACTCAGTGTTTTATCCAGAAAAATATTATGCAAGCCTGAAAATTTTGCTCATAGAAGGAGCAAAGGTATAGACATATAGTATCAAAATTTCGAGGCTTGGTCAATATTTTTCTGGCGAAGATAATGAGTTAGCCGTTTTTAAAAATCGGCTCAAAACGAGCCGTTTAACAACATTAGCTAATATACTTGCTTATTAAATGATAATACTCGCCGAAAAATATGATAAAATACGAAATAATGAATTTTTTGAATATACCAGGTCGAATATAATTTTTAAAAATTCCGAGCCGGCCTAAAAAAAAATTTTTAAACCCGGACCGGACCGGGTCGGGCCGTATAAATGGTACCTCTGCAGGTCTCTGCTAAATATTTTTTAATATATATTTATTTAAATTATATGCTCATATGAGATAAAATGAATTTTGCATTCAAATATTTTTATTTTTTTGATAAAAAAGCGTTAAATAGAAGTATAAAATGTATATGGAAAAGTATCCAAAAACTGAAATGCTATCTAGGTACATATACATTTTATAACAGTATATCTTAGAGATAGAGATACGACATTTTTGTATCATGATACTTTAACAACCCTGAAAATTTATATAAAAATTAATGAAAAAAATAATAAAGTATATTAAATTCATTGTCATAATTTTTAAAAGGATCAGACAGAACTATCCGGGATCATCACGGGTTTTAAAGGGATAATTAAAAAATTAGGGTTTTAAGTTAAGGAATGATAGTATGGCATTAACACGTTTTAATCGTGATTAAGAGGAATCTAATTTTAAAAAGCGTTTTATGCGCGTTTCGTTTCGTTTTATTTCTTTTTAAATTTATTGTTATTTATTAATTTTCAGTGTTGTTTTATTTGTCTTATGAAATAAGATATGTCTAATATAGGGTATCAATCGGTAGATAATCAAAAGATCTATTCAACTGGAGTCAATATCTCTCCCTTAATGGACGAGTCTAGGTCTTGGGGGGTCAGAAATATTTTTATCAACACAAAATATCGATATGCATATCAAATAAAAGCTAATTTAAATATCTCTAGCTTGAAAGTGCATTTTTTGTCTTGATGGGTATGATGACTTGATCTGGAGGATGGATAGAGGGGGGGGGGGAGGGTGGTGTAAAAAATATTTTTTTTTGATATGGGGTCAAATAAAAGGTAATTAAATATTTTTTTATTATAATAATAATAATCCCTCATACCGGACAGGTTTAGGTCTTGGTAGGGAGGAGGAAGGGGGGGGGATCGGGAATATGTTTTTCAACATAAATATCGATAAGGGTATCAGATAAACTAGTTTAAATATCTCTTGATTGTAATAATTATACTCTAAGCAGGCGGGAGATCTTAGTTGGTCAGGAATATTTATATAAACACAAAATATTGTTATAGGAATCAAATAAAAGGTATTTTAAATATCTTTTGACTGAAAGTATTTATTATCTTAAAGGATTAGACTTGATCTGGGAATGTTGGGGGGGGGGATAACATTTTTTATATGGGTATCAAATAAATAGTAATTAAAAAATCTTTTAATAATAGATGATTAGCTTATAAAGAATAATTTAAATCTGCAATAAAAAAAATTTATGTCATTTTAAAATTTGTGAATCGATGGTTTTAAATATAACCGAAATTTTGAGATTTAAAAATATTACAAATTAGATTAAGTTGTTAACATTAACAAATAATTTTATCATTATGCTACAATGAGTTTTAAAAAGCAATAACTATATTTAACCACTGCTTATAATATTTAATATTGAGGTCTAAATATTTTGTATTTATCTTTTATTTAATACCCATGTTTATGTTTTGCGTTATAATATTCATTATATCTTAAGATGCCCTCTTAGCATGATAAAATTGATATAATCAAAAGATTTTTTAATTACTATTTATTTGATACCCATATAAATTTTTATTTTTACCCCCCCTCCCATTCCCAGATCAAGTCTAACCCTTTAAGATAGTAAATACTTTCAGTCAAAAGATATTTAAAAAACCTTTTATTTGATACCTATATCAATATTTTGTGTTTATATAAATATTCCTGACCACCTAAGATCTCCCGCCTACTTAGAGTATATATATTACAATCAAGAAATATTTAAATTAGCTTTTATTTGATACAAAATATTCCTGACCCCCCAAATAATGATCTGCATCGAGCCTAATTTTCCAAGCCCGGCCCGGCCCGAAATTTTTTTAAAAAAGTTTTGCCGGCCGGGCCCGAACTCAAAAGTATTTTTTAAAAAAGTTTTGCCGGCTCCCCGAACTCAAAAGTATTTTTTAAAAAATTTACCGACCCGGCCTGGCCCAAATTTATATAAATATAGATATTAATTTTTATAATTACTCAAAATATAAGACATATGTTATATGTCGTTTAGTTTCAATAAATAAAATCAAATATTATTATTTTACATAAAAAATTCAATATAAAATTGATAAATTTAGATATATTTAAAAAAAATTCCAAGGTCCAACCCGACCCAGCCCGAATTTTTTTTAGAAATATTAGGCCCGGCCCGGCCCGAACCCAATTATTTTAAATAGAGTGAGGTTCGAGTCCGACCCCGGGCCGGAGTCGGGCCTAACTTTACAGATGTCTACCCCCAAGACCTAGACTCGCCCTCTATGAGTAATTATTATTATTACAAAAAAAAATATTTTTTACACCTCCCCCCCCCCTAGACCAAGTCATACCCATCAAGACAAAAAATGAATACTTTCAATCTAAAGATATTTAAATTAGCTTTTATTTGATACCCATATCGATATTTTAAGTTGATAAAAATATTCTTGACCCCTTAAGACCTAGACACGCCCTCTATGAGTGATATTATTATTACAATAAAAAAATATTTAATTACATTTTATTTGAAACCCATATCAAAAAAAATTATTTTTTACACCCCCCCCCCCATCCACCCTCCAGACATCATACCGATCAACACCAAGAATGAAGACTTTCAGTCAAAAGATATTAAAATTAGCTATTATTTGATTCCCATATCGATATTTTATATTGATAAAAATATTCCTGACTCCAGATCTAGACTCGCCCATTAAGGGGAAGAAATTGACCTCCAGTTGAGTAGATATTTTGATTAGCTATCGATTGATACCCTATATTAGGCATATCTTATTTCATAAGACCAAAAAAACAATATTGAAAATAAATAAATACCATTAAAAAAAATAAAGCAAAACGCGCGTAAAACGCGTTTTAAATTAAATTTCTTCTATAACATGGTTCAAACATGATATTACCGTATAGTTCTTTATCCTTTTAAA